TAGCTTGGGTCTTATCAGATGTGGGGTTATAATAATAAATGTGTATAAAAATATATTTGAGTTGAATTATAATACCATATCTCCTGCCGGTATTAAAATACTTCTATAATACAAGTTTATCGTACAAAAAATATACAATAAATATACGATTACTGTAAATTTTTTAAATTAATACGGAATCAAATTTTTCTACCAAAGTTTTAGACCAAATTAAATTAAAAATAATATAATATAATATTTAATCCACTTATAATACATTTACCAAACGAGCCCTACAAGTTTCTAGTGGATTAAGGTGGTACAACAAAACCATGTCTTTAATATAGGGAGTTTATTTAATTCAATAAAAAGACTATGTCCCTATGGTGAAGGTCAGTTGGGATTTCCATTATCGTAATTAGATTAGTTGCTAAGGGATAGGCATGTTATCCCTAGTAGTTAGGATTCAATTAGTTGTTATCTTCATGGATATTCATGTTATCCATAATAGTTAGGACTCAATTAGATTAGTTGTTATCATCAATTGACTTGTAAACTCTATATATAGAGTCAGTGGTCATGAATAAATCATCAATCATTATTTACAAGTTCATCGGTTGAATGTAGGAGTCCGTATGAAGACTTGACTTTTTTACCTCAAGAGGCTTAGGCCCTCAAAGTATCCAACCATAGCAAAATAGATCGGCCTCGCAAAGTTACCTATTCATAAACGCATAACTTAAGGAACATATCAGCTTTGGTATTAGAGCCAGGTATGTCCGACATCCACTTGGAATGTCTCAAAGGGGAGGTTGGAGCCCTCAAGGAGAAGATAGGCGAGGTGGGAATCAACCAAGAACAGATCTTGAAGGAAATAGTAGAGTTGACGCAGTCGTTACAAACCTTGTCGGCTAATCGTAGTACGAACAGCGGATATGAACAAAGTTCTTCTTCATCACACATCAACAGACTGGTTCTCAAGGTTCTGGGAATTTTAATTATTGAGGGCCTAAGATGGATTTTCCATGCTATGAAGGAAATGAAGACCCAGCGGTCTGTATCTCTAAGGTGGAGCAATATTTTCATTTCCAGCGAACTGAGGAAGCCAAAAAATTATCCATGGCGGCATACCATTTGGATGGAGACGTGCAAATCTAGTATCAGCACTACAAGGAGGAGAGGGTGAAGCAGATTGGGAATCCCTTAAAACCGAATTACATGTGCAATATGGACCCACTAAGTAGTGAATTTTCTTTGGCGATATTTCCAAACTTAAACAAACAAGAATCGTGAAAGATTATCAATCCGAGTTCATGCAATTACTAAGCAGAGCTAGTAAGCTCTGTGTGGAGTAGCAAATTGGAAGCTTCATTAGCGACCTCAAGGAGAATCTGAGAATCGATTGCCAAGCCAATGATCCCCCTACCCTATCATCTGCGATTGGGCTAGCAAGGCTCTATGTGGATTGAAAAACAGAATCACGCAGACCACCTCCTTATGAATTTTGAAAGGCACTTTCCACCATCAACACCTCACCGTTGCCATCGTCTGCTTTGACTTGCCCAAAACCCATTTTTATTCGTTGGCTATCGCCAGCAGAACTGAGAGAGCACGGAGAGAAGGGGCTCTGTTTCAAGTGTGATGACAAATTTGCTCCTGATAATCAATGCAAGAAGCTTTTCTTTATAGAAGGAGATTTTGAAGAAGAGGAAGAGCCTGGCGGAGAAACTATGCTCGATGGAGAAGGAGAAGTGTTAAAGATTAGTTTACATACAATCATCGAAATTTGTCGCAAACCATGAGATTCAAGGGGATGGTGGGAAAAATCGGGTTCACAATGTTAGTGGACTCGAGCAACACCCATAATTTCTTCATATCGATCTAGCTAAAAAATTAGGACTGAAGCCGGAAGGAGGGAGATTCTCAGTTGGAGATGGAGGATGACCGTCAACTTTAAACCATGGCAATTGGTGAGTTTCTTCTATGAAGGAATTACACTAACCTATCGCCTGTTCCTAGGCATGATATGTAACGACAAGTTTTTGAGTAAAGAGCCTGAGGAAGCTTTAGATTACTTCAATAGTTTAACAGAGAATGTCAAATCTTGGGATATTTCTAATCCGGCTGAACAATCAAAGCAATCTATTCCATCCTAGTCTATTGGGGTGGAAAATATGTTTTGTGAGGTCAAGATGAGTTGCTAGCTAAGATTGCTCATCTGTCAACAAAAGTAGAAAACTTGGAGGTAAGGAAGGTGAATGAGGTGGCAAGTGTGCCTCAAGAAGAGGTTTGTTCTTTATGCGAGTCGGTTGAGCATTCCATAAAGATTGCTCAACCTTTCCAGTTTGCAAGTGAATCCCTTTAACCAACCAAGGCAACAAAACTGCCCCTACTCTTAACACTTATAATTCAGGATGGCGTAGCCACCCAAATTTCAGTTGGAGAAATGACACTTCTGCTCAATCCTCCACCTTTATGCCTTATGTCCCTTCAAGTCAACCAGCGTTTGGTCCAATCCGCTCTACAGGTCCCTAGTCAATACACCTACCATAACAAGGGTTTGTTTAAAACTCGTCTCCACAAGGGTTTGCTCCTCAGAGACAAACCAGTGTACCATTTACCAGCCTCTTCACAACAGAAACATTAAAGATGTTCTTTATCAATTTATTCAAAGCTAGACCACAGTGAACTACCAAACTAATCAAGCTCTAAATGACATTAGGTATCAAATGGCCAAGTTGACCAACACAATGAGAATGATGCAGCAGGAAAAGAGAAAATTTCCTGCACAACCCCAAGAGTATCGCAAAGGTCAACATGGATTGAGATTTCTGCTGTCAGAAATAAGGAGAAGCAGCTTAAGTCTATCACCACTCTTTGGAGTGATAAAGATGTAGATAAAACCATCTTGCCTAGGGTCTCTAAACCTATAGAAAAAGAGAATTAGGGCACTCCCAAGGATGGTAAGTCACTTGAGCTGCCTAAGGTTGTTGAGTTTGATGAGGTAGTCTGTCCCATTCCTATTCCTTACCCTCACCATTTGAAAATGCCTACAAAACAAGTTAATAATGCTGAGATACTTAACTTATTCAAGCAGGTGATGATTAACATTCCTCTTCTTGATGCAATTCGACAGGTGTCATCTTATGCAAAGTTCTTAAAAAACTTGTGTAATGTCAAGAGGAAGTTACATGTTCAGAAAAAGGCAATCCTAACACAGTAGGTAAGTACTATCCTCCAAGCCAACTCTCCACCCAAGTATAAAGACCCGAGTTGTCCCACCATTGCTGTTACCATTGGGGATTGCCGGGTTGAACAAGCACTTTTGGACTTGAGTACAAGTGTGAATCTCCTACCTTTCTTGTTTTACCAATAGTTAGGCTTGGGAGAATTGCAACCAACTTCAATTACTCTCCAGTTAGTAAACTGAAGTGTGAATATACCTAGAAGGGTGGTGGAGGATGTGTTGGTTCAAGTAGATAAGTTTTACTTCCCCATTGATTTTATAATACTGGACACTGCACCTGTTGCTAATCCCGCTGCACGGATTCCCATAATTTTAGGACGCCCATTCTTTTGTAACATCAAATGCATTAATAAACTTTAACAGTGGTGTGATGAAATGCTCTTTTGGGAATTTGACTACTGAATTTAACATTTTTCATGTAGCAAAGCAACCGGACGGTGAGGGAGATTTCTGTGAGGTAGAAGTGTGTTGAGGAGAAGTTTGAAACTTCTATGTGTTCTGATCCGTTACAACTTTGTTTGATTAATTTTGTATGTGAGGAAGACAACTTCGAGGCTGTATTTTATACAAAATTGCTTATTAATTCGCCGGAGTTATGTGGAGTTGAGAGAGAGAAAAATAAACAATTGTTCTTTGGCGAAGTAAGATCCCGAGTGAAGTCTAGTATTGGGCAATTAGAGCCCAGTTGATCCCTGTCAATTAATTAACAACCCTTGTACAGTAGAGTAGATTAGTTAGATAACTTCTTTCTTTTCTTTTTTAGATAGTTTGGTTTTTTTCTTTTATACTAATTTGTTCTTTTGTTTATCTTGCAGTTAGTTTTAGTTAGGAGCTGCGCTAAGGTGTTCTCTTTCCCTTAACCTTTTTCATTTTACTCCTTGCATTATATTGGTTGCATTGAGGACAATGTAGATTTTAAGTCGGGGGTGAGGGTACATCATAGTTTTGCTTTGATTTCTTCTTATTTTAGTTTTTAGTATTTTTTGGTAGTTTAGTGGAAACAATTGAAAATTTTTGAAATAAAAAATGTCTATTTGGATGAAATTTGTTGTTCTTAAGAGCTGTGGAATTTTAAATTTGCTACTTGATGTTCAAATTGGTTGCATGTTGTACTCTAGAGACTTGTAGTTTATGGTTGAATATCATAGTGATGCTTGTATATGAAACTCAGACTTTGTTTATAATGAGCATGTAAATTCTGTTGAGATTTATGGAATGAAATTCACGTTTTGAAAAAGATTGACATCCATAGTAGAGATGTATGTATATACCTTGAGAGTATATTGCCTACCATTTTTGGAGGGTTATAATACATTTAATCATATAAAATTCATTTCAATTCCACTGTTTTTCAATAATCTCATTATGCTAGTTTTGGTTAGGAATATGGGAGTAATTAGTTGGTGATATCTCAATAAAGAACAACTCTTCTCTATAATTTCTGAAATATGATCTTAGGCCTTCTTTGAATTTTTATTGAGTAGAGTGACATATAGTCCAATGATGGATTCTGACCATTGCTTCATTGTTTTCCATGTGCTTAAGCCTAGGGAGGGAATATCAACTAGAGTGCAAAGAAAGAGGAGGTTCCGGTTTGAATCCATGTGGCTTACTAATCCTACCTGCTATGATGCTATCAAACAAAGTTGTAAAGGCTATGAGGATTCCTCAGTACAATAGAGGTTTATTAAAAGAATCAAGAGTTGCAGAATTGGTATTTTGAAGTGGAAGAATGCTACATTTGGGCATGTTGGACGCCACTGGAGATGAACAGAGCTAAACTTTCTCAAGTACAAACCAAGGAGATGACAGAGGAAAATAAAGTGAAGCTCAGATTTATCCAGGACAGTATGAACTTAATTTTGGAGGCTGAGGAGCTGTTGTGGAAACAAAGATCCAGGAATTCTCGCTCAAGGAAGGAGATAGAAACACGAGGTACTTTCATAACCAGGAAAATTCGAGGAAGCAATTGAATACTGTCAAAGGTCTATACGATTTGCATGGACGTTGGATAACTGATAAAGTAGGGATGAAGGCCCAAGCTATGCATTATTTCCATGATTTGTTCAAATCAGATTATCCTACTCGGTTTGATCTTGAGAAAGTGCACAGTTGTATAGAGCCAAGTGTCACTAGTGAAATGAACCAGCATCTGATGAAGGAATTTAGCCCAAGTGAGCTTTTGGAGGCATTGCATCAGATGCACCCAACAAAGAGTCTTGGACCAAATGGTATGAACACTCTCTTCTATCAAAAATTTTTGAGCATAGGGGGTGAAGACGTGACAAATTTGGTATTACAAATCTTAAATTCTCGAAACTCTGTTTCTTCAATTAATTATACCTATATTGTTCTTATTCTGAAGGTGCCAGATCCCATGAATATATCCCAGTTTAGACCAATTAGTTTATGTAATGTGGTATATAAGTTGGTGTCCAAAGTTCTTGCAAACAGATTGAAAAAGATGCTCCATATAATTATCTCTGATCAACAAGGTGCTTTCGTTCCGTGAAGGCTAATTACTAACAATGTGTTGATAGCTTATGAGCTGAATCATAATCTGAAGAATAAGAGGAAGGAAATAAGGGGTATATGTCTATTAATTAGATATGAGGAAGGCATATGATCGAGTAGACTGGTGTTTCTTTGAGGCCATTATGAGAAAAATGGGTTTTGCAGAGTATTGGATTGAAATGGTTATAGATTGTGTTAAAATAGTCACATACTCACTTATGCTTAATGGTGAGCAGACAGGTTTTTTTAGGCCATCTAGGGGACCGAGACAAGGTAATCCCCTAGCACCTTATCTCTTTTTGCTTTCTTCAGAAGGTCTAACAATGTTATTAAGAAATAGGCACGAAAGAGGACTTCCAGAAGGCATTAAGGTTGGTTCTAAGGGTCCATCATTTTTGCATTTGTTATTTGCGGATGATACTTTGTTGTTCACAAGGTCTAATGAAAGTAGCTGTCAGACTATTAATGAGGTGTTAACAATTTACGAAAAGGCTTCCGGTCAAAGTATCAACTGCTCAAAATCAGCCTTAGTTTTTAGCCCAAATGTGAGTTCAGCTGAGAGGGATAATATGGTGGCATCTCTACAAATTCCAGTTCTAGGGAAACATGAGAAGTACGTGAGAAGTGTTTGACTCAATTAGACAGTGTGGCAAAAAAGTGCAAGGATGGCAGAGCAAAATTTTATCCGTGACAGGTAGAGAAACACTTACCAAGTATGTTGCATAAGCTATTCCAACTTATGCAATGTCTTGTTTTAAACTCCCGAAGTCCTTGTTCAATGAGTTGCATAGATTGATGGCAACATTCTAGTGTGGAGGAACTGAGTCTGTTCGGAAAATTCATTGGGTCTCTTGGGATAAGCTGTGCATTCCGAAAGAAGAAAAGGGTTTAGGTTTTCGTAATCTTGAGACTTTAATCTTGCTCTTTTGGCTAAACAAGCCTAGAGAATTATAAAGAATCCAACTTCATCTCTAGCTATGTTTCTCAAGGCTAAGTATTTTCCTTCCTCTTCATTTTTGGATTCTTGTTTGGGCTCGAACCCCTCACGTGGAGATCTATTTTGGATGCAAGGAGTGTTATACAAGCAGGTATGCGATGGAGAGTTGGCAATGGAGAAGAAATTCGAATAAAAGAAGATAAGTGGATTCCAAGGCCTGTAACTTTTAAAGTGATAAGTCCCCTACATTATCTACCCAATGATGAATTAGTGTGCTCGTTGATTAACTAAGAAAGAAGTGTTGGGATTCTGTAAAACTTAATGATCTCTTTTTAGAGTTTGAAGCGAAGACAACAACTGCTATTACCATCTGTGAATACCTCCCTTCTGATTGTCTTGTTTGGTGGGTTCATCTAGTGCCGTGGGTAATTATTCGAAGGTGGGTATGGAGAATGTTATTTGGAAGCTTGATCTTCCTAGTAAAATAAAGATATTTGTGTGGAAAGTTTTATCTAATGTTCTGCCTATACAATGTAAGCTCCAGTGGAAGAGGGTTATGGTGGATACTGAGTGTGTTCCTATGTGGGGACCATGTGGAGTAATTGGAGGATATTTTTATGAAGTGCACCTTCTCAGTGCAGGTATGGAAGGAAGTAGGTATACACATTCCCCATTTGCATGATCTTCATTTCAAGGATTGGTTGTTGGCTGTCTTGCAAAAGTCTCCCCAAGATCAGAAAAGACTAACTTTGACTGTACTTTGGTCTATTTGGTTTAATCTTAATAAAGCTAGCCTAAACCAGGTAGTGAACTGTAACAGAACATGGGTATATAATTAGATTATGTTAAATTGTAAAAATCGTAAATAATGTACTAATTTAGACAGACTGAAATTAAAAGAGTGCACTTACAGAAACGCAGATCAGCACAAACAATAAATAGGAATAAACCAAAATTTTAATCTGAGCCTTGTGAACCACAATCTCTAGATTTGTTCTCTCTTAGTGCTCAAGGTGAATGAGTTGACGAACAGGCTCTTTAGAAACAGACCATGGAATGAACACAGATTCCTTTTGGCGCCAAATTCAAAAGATAATGGATATAAATTTAAAAATTCGGTTGAATTTAAATTTCAATTGGGATTTTTAATTCTGATTTGCGTTTGTATCTGATTGATTTGACCCATGACCCGCACTGCTCTAAATACAATGTTATCCAAAAGATTATAACTTTTTGGCCCAGGTCCAAGCCCAACCCAGTCCGGTCTTGGCGGACGACGCGCGCGTGTGATATCCAAGATAATGTAGTGTAGGCACTCGCTCTACTCACGAGAATGTGATATCCCTTGGGGCCCAAACTCAAGAAGCCAACTAGGAGTGTATTATCTTACTAAAGTGTTGGTCTTTTTCCATCGTGAGACAAACTTTATTTTACTACACTAATATTAGTTTATTTTATTACTTCAAATAAGTCATTTTGAGACGTATTTTCTTATTCAAATCTTAATAGTTTTGGACAAATAAATATGTCACATTAATCTCCTCACAAAGAAGAATAAGTTTAATCATAGTTCCACTAATTATGAGGTATGGGTACTTTTATTTAAGCCTCAAATTGCTCAAATAAATTTGTTTAAAACTATTTTTTTCCAACATGAACCAGCCAACACAAGTGATTGCTTTCTCGGCCTCCTATTTGAATCAATATACTGCGGCACAGGAGCGTTCCTACCAGTTGGTTCAACAAAATGATTCATGTTTCCAGGTTAAATGGTCTGCCCCTCCACGTGGAATTTTAAAGATTAATTTTGATGGTGCTATTTTCAAGTGGATAGAGGCTGCTGGCATTGGAGTTGTTGTGAGAGATTGTAATGGGCAAGTTTTAGTAAACTAATTAGAGGGGTTACTGAAGCCAAACAAATTGAAGGTTGGGCAGCATATGAGGCAGACAGATTTGCTGTTCAAATGGTATACGAAAATATCATTCTGGAAGGAGACTCTAAATGCACGATTGAGCTTATTAAAAAGAGGGAAGGTGGCTCATCAGTTATAAGACATTTCTTTTCTTTTGATATGGGTTGGATTCGTAGATCTGACAACAATGTTGCTCATACTTTAGCCAGGGAAGCTTATGTTATTTTAGATTGGATTGTACTGTATGGAGGGGGGGTTGTTCCAAATTTTCTATCAACTTCTCTTCATAACAATGTTTCATAATATATAAAAGTGTTATCGTTTTATATCAAAAAAAAAAAACAAATATTTGAGTTCAAATTGGATTGAAAATCGGGTTTGATCTTAAGTAACGGCATTTGGCCTTAAACATAATGTTAATTTGGGTTGACTTTTAACTCTCTAATTTTGGTTGGCTCTCGAAAACTTGAAATCACAATCTCAACCTGAGTAGATTCCATTAATAAATCAACTCGAGACTTTTTTCTAAACTTGGCATGAATATTTATAAACTTTATCTAAATACTAAATACTTTTTATTAGAATCCAATAACTTTATTATTGCTTTCCGAAGGTCGCATACGTTGAGCAGAAAAGAATTGCATCACGAAAAATAGAAGAATAGATTTTGAACAATGATATTTTCAATTTGTTGTCCTTGAACTCGCGTTGAAAGTTGAAGACAAAGCTTAATTGCAATGGCTTAAATCTAGAATCTATTACAGCAAATTTTAAACTTAAATACTATTCTACAGCCATTTTGAATTTAATTACCAAACTACGGTAGTTTTAAAAGGGAATTTGACAATTACGAATTTTTTTAAAAATAGAATTAAAAAGTCCAAGTTTATGCTTAAAAGTAGAATTAAGAAATCCGCTTTTATCATAAAGACGGATATATTGATACGTTTTTAAAAAAATAATGTGTGTTCTGTTGCGAAGTAAAAACGAACTTACTAAAACCGCTTTTAATAAAAGACGGACTTGCCACAATCGAGTTTATGCTTTACATGCACACACATGCAGCCAAGTACATTTATAAGCCCATATTGTGATATGTCAGAATCTGTGCTAACTCCCAGCCGCCACCCATTCTCCCTCTCCTAAATCTCCGCCACCGTGATCGCCACTGCCGCTAAAGGTGGTGTGAGCTAATTGGTAGTTGAAACCAGGGCCATAAACAGTCATGGGTACTTCACAAGATGGTATATATCAACCAATGCTACAAAACAACCCACCATCTTTGTTACCACAATCATCGGAAAAAAAAGTTTACAATGTTGTGGAGTTGAGTTTTGGCATGTTTTGTGCAAGGCTCTTAATTTCGATGCTATTAATGTTTTGGGTGGCTCAGTTTGTGTATTTAGTGAAAAGTGAGAGATGCAAGGAGACATGGGTCGGGTTTAGCTGGCAGGCCTTTGCTGCGTTGCCGGGGTTCTTCAAATTGTCGGCGGCATCGGCGGTGATGTTATGCTTGGAGACTTGGTACTTTCAGATTCTTGTTTTGTTGGCTGGGTTGCTGGAAAATCCTGAGTTGGCTTTGGATGCTCTCTCCATTTGGTAAGAGACAAGGCCTCATGTTTTTTATTTGCTTGATTTCGAATAATATAATGTTATTTAAATTAAATTTGTATGATCGTGTGGATATGCTACTGTGTGGACTGATGGTTGTTTGATTGGGACTAATTGCAGCATGACGATTTCTGGATGGGTGTTCATGATTTCGGTTGGTTTCGATGCAGCCGCAAGGTTAGCCCCTTCTTTGGATTTGTTCATTGATTTTTATTTATTTTTAATTTAATGATCATGGGTGTTCGAATTAAATTATGAGTGTTTTGATTAATCTTTTTCCTGATTTAATCAAAAATAAATTATTTATACCAAAATTAGTATATTTATGAAGAATTAATTCTTATGACCTAAACTTAAAAAATTATCAAATTTTAAATTTAAAATATTTAAATTCATAATTTATTCCTATTATTATTTAAACTATTTTCGTGTTGACCATTCTTCTCTCGTCTCTCTACCTCTTTTCTCTTTTTTTAATATTGTGAGTAAAATTTAAATGTTAAATGAATAAAAATTGGATAAAAAACCACCATGCTAGTGAGATCATTTATTGCCTATATCTGAAGCTCTCAGCTATCATGTACTCCGAGACGTTTAGTCATTAAATTTTCGGCAAGTTGTTCGGCAATAAGTATTTTGTACGAAAAAAGCATAAACTCAATTTTGACAAGTCTGCTTTTTATTAAAAGCGATTTTGATAAGTTTGCTTTTATTTCGCAACAGGGACGCATTATATTCTTAAAAATGGTATCAATAAACACGTCTTCATAATGAAAGCAGATTTCTTGATTCTGCCTTTAAGCATTAACTCGGGTTTTTTAATTTTGTTTTTAAATAAAATTATAATTATCAAATTCACTTTTAAAACCGTTATAATTTGATAATTAAGTTCAAAACAACCGTAAAATAGTATTTAAAATTAAAATTTGTTGTACATTGCTAATAGATTCCTTAAATCTATGGGCTTGGGTGCCTATTTTCTGTGGACCCATGAGTTGGTGGGATGGATTGAGGAAAGAAGCCCTTGAGGCTGGAAAATGTGAGATTGAGATTAGTACAAGTTTGGAATAGATATCATGGGGGTGGGAAGAGCTATCCAATGAGGTGGGTATAAATTTAGTTGGGCTTAGTAAATGGAGTAGGTATAGTAATTTTGTATGAAAAGTCAAATAGGGTGGAAATGAATATTTTAAGGTTTCACCCTTAGATTTTAATTTCTTTAAAATATTAAATACTCCAACTTTCAAATTTCAATGTAACATACACATGTACTAATGTGAGGATTTAGTGTGAGAACTAAATGGATTGTGACCATTGAATTTTGATAGTGTATTTTATTAAATATTGGAACCTATTATTAACTCAATTATCACAATAAATTAGTTCCTCACATTAGGTTCTTAAGTTACAAAAATATATAAATCAATAATGAACGCTATCCTGAAAATCACAACGGTAAGTGATGGACAGTATTGAATTTCATTCATTTTTTCGATGCCTAGTAATACGAATTTACTTAGCTTTGGCCTTAGTACACTCATTTGGCGGGGGAGATAATCGTAAAATAATCTTAATTTTCAGTAGAATCTTGATGAAAGTAAAATTTAGTGTAGTGCATATTTAAAAGCATTTGCAGAAAAATAATGGTAAAATAGCTAAAAAACAAAACAAAAAAAGGGACAAAATGATGTAGAATTGCGAGTCAGTCAACACATCCTTTGAGCTCTATTTTTTGTCAGTGTGAGATTACTCTTTGCATAAAAGTTACAACCTGTTAAGATTAAACTAGGTAGATCTAATGGAGTTTTTATAAATATATTGAGCCTTAAGTCATTTAGTCAATGAGGGAAAATAATTTCGCTTTTAAATCTATATCATTTCTAGTACATATTTATTTATTCTTTTTCAATGATAAATCATTCATTGCAAATTAAAGTGGGTAATCTAGAATGGTGCGAAATGAGGGTGTAAACTCAAGTGGGTTATTTAGCATTGTGCGAGAGCTATGGGTCTACCGAATTGTTTTACCACTTTCTTTGTGTACCATCATTAGGTGCACGGTTCAATACTCCTCCTCCCTTGTAATAGTGTGATAAAAAAAAATCTAACATTGTGTGAAATGAGGGTGTACGAGAGAGGGTCCTAATAATTTTTTGTGTGATAATTAGAATGTCTCCGGACCTCTTAGAACATCCAACTGATTTTCTCTTGGTCACAAATAATTCCAAGATCACATGCGCTAGAAAATTATGGGAGATTCACATTTTGTAATTGCAATGCAACGAAAGAATACTTGATATTATTGCTATGCAATGTCAAAACTGACCCATTCGGCCATTTGGGCAAGTCGAATCATTGAAAAGAAAAATCAAAATGTTTAAGGTATTACCTAAGGTATATGGTACAGTTTAGAAGGCTTCAAACTCTTAGTAACATTAAAGTACTGCAATGTCCGAATCCACTTCTCTTGAGTCTTCAGAAGGTGAACGGCAATGGTGTCCGGCCAAAGCTCATGTGTGCATCTCGTTGGTGGCTCCGGAAAATTGTACATCGACCATTTAGCATTATACCGGTTTTTAGCCCGGTGACCCTCTCGGATCCAGTCACCGAAAACTTTATCTTCCGGCCCTTCTAGATGGTTTTTCGGAATTTCCGATTCCCTAATCCACTCCACTATGTCCCAAGAAATCAAATATCCCATGCCAGACATATAGTGCACAAAAGGGTCCATGCTAGGGCATGGAATAACATAACCATAGTACAAGTCCTCCCTAGGCAATGGCCTTAATGACTCCACTAGGTTACTTAACCTAAAATAAGTATCATCGTCAGCCTTCAAGACATAATGGTAAGGTGGTGATGGTCCATCAGAGCTGTTAAATAAATCTGGCAAGCTCGAAAAATACGTATAAGTCTTACCTTTGTTCATATTCTCCTTGCAGTTGAGGATTATGATATCATCGTAACGCATTATCTCTAATGCCACCAAAATTGTCTGGTCTTCCTTTGTTAGGTTGCAAAACACGAATTTCAAGTCGATTTTGGCACCCACTGGAGACTGTGTCCCGTAGATGAGCCGGAGGAAGTGCCTCTTATGGTAGTGATCCGGAAGTGTCAAAATTCCAATGAGTATCCGAATCTGGTCGGACGATGAATTTGTGGCAAGAAAATTATTAGAAGAAGAATTGGATGATTGGGAGGGTATGCTAGAGAGAGCACATCTACCAAACTTTAAGAGACTATCAAATCGGACTTCATTGATGGAAGCTAGTATGCAGAGAAAAACAATGAAGCAGAAAGAGGATACAATGAATCTCCGGCGACCCGGTCTCGTTGGCTTCATTATCATATGAATAAGAACAAGAACAAGTTGGAGAGGTCTAATTCGGAAACTGGAGTGGAGGAAGCTCATTTCAATCTTCGAAGTGTTGATGACAAAATGCAAACTTTCTTACATACAATGCTTTGGGTTGGCAATTTCGTGCTATTGAGTCTACCATTTTGACTTTTACTCCGTAAAGAAAGGTGGAGGGAAAATCACAATGTAGACTAATATGCCCTTGGAGTAGCAGCCGATGTCAATGGAGCAGATTTGGATTGAATTTTACCTAATCCAATCTAAATCTCACTTAAAATCCCTAATATGAATTTAATTCAATATCCGATAAATTTTATTTTCACAATACATATCTAAATTCATCATAGAACATAAAATCAATTTGAAACTTCAATTGGATTTGATCCAAAGAACTCAATTAGAGTTGAATTTTAACAAGAGTACAACTTGGTTTCAACCCAACTTAATCAAGTAATATTTCAGTGTAATCTTATAAATTGGACTGGAATGGAATATCAATAATCAAAATCCAAGAACTATGACATAACCGATTCGCATTCAAATTCAAATTAAGGACAAAAAATACATAGCCATAATGTATAGAATATGAATTGGATTCGGATCAAAATCTGATCCAATAACAAATCTAAATGTGACTCATTTTGTGAGGAGAGGGTTTGGTCCTTTCCCTTACACACCCTGAAATTCATGAAAGCAGGACTGGAAAAAGGTGGTGGTAATGGGTATGAGCCTAACTTTAGGTGCACTTCATTGAGTCTTTGCTTGCTTATTACCTGGGTGAGTTGGTCAACATTTTCTGTAAATTAGGCATTTTGCATGAACACGGTGAGTTTCAAGTCACATGGGGCTCACCATACTTGAATATAACGTTATTGACCACATGATGCTCCCTTTTAGTGATCCAAGAAGATGCTGGTATTTCATCCAACTTGAAAGGGAAAGGCCATGGATCAGTTTTGTTAACGTTTTTAGCCTCTTCCAAGCTCCAGCCAATGTGAACCAGAAACATCTAAGTGAGGGGCAAAAAAAAATATTTTAAGTGTTCAAATGAAAATTTTATAAAATCAAGGGTGAAAATTTCTAAAGGGCCACACCTCTTTAGGACATAGTGTAGTTCCGTCTTTGCTTTCAGTCGGTGCGGAAAAACAATCACAGCATCTCCCGTTATTTTTACTGAAATTATAACAATTTTCACCAATTATTGGAAGGGTAAAACTACCGTAGTATATAAATATCGTCCCTGTTCCTGAAAATAATAAGAAAAGGATGTTATATTGAATCTCTAAATGTAGTTAAGTACAAGAAAACAAAAAAGTTGTAGATGGTGGGCAGACAGAGACGTATCATAGTCATGGCCTAGAGAGGAGCCGTGGTACTCCCTGAGTTTTTCAAAATTACGCTGTTTAAACAACAACTTCTCCACCGATGAACTCAATCAAGTTTTTATTCTAAATTTAAATTCTAGTACTCAAATTTTGGTTAACTGTTTTGCTTTGTTTTTTTTTTTTGGCAGAGAAGTTACCGTTACAATGATATTGCAAAATCGTATCAATTTATATTATTATTGAGTAAGTGTATTTAGGGGCGGCTCCTGACATTTTGGGGCTTAAAGCAGCAACTAAAAAAAGACCTTTCATTTTTAAAAATAATATTTTATTTAAAATTTATATTTCTTGCTTTTTGAGATACAAAAGTACTAATTAAGGTTTTATATTTAAGTTTTGCTGTCATATCTTTTTCGATTGATAGTATTGCTAACCCATTTAATATTTCTTGTGACATAATTGATCTTAGACAAGATTTTATTAATTTTAATTTTGAAAAACTTCCTTTTGCAGAAGCAACATTTATAGAAATTGTAAATAAAATTTTATAAGCTATGCATGTATTCGAAAAAGAATATAATCGTTTTATATAACTTAATATTTCAATTGGAGTAATTTCTTCCGTAGGCAAAATTTCTTTTAAAACATTTAATTTTGAAAACAAATCTAAGTCATCAATATTATAAAAACTATCATGTTTTAAGAAAACTCAAGATCAAGACAATATTTTTTAAACTATCATTTTCTAATGATTTTAATTTTTTAAAATTAAATAAAAAACCAAATATATTTTCATATATTTGAAATTGTTTAAATCTACTCTTTAACAAAGAAATAGCTTGATCTACTATGTCTATAAAATAATCAGTTCTAAAAAATTCTTTAACATAGTTTTTTACTTTGTCATCAACACTTTTATCAAATTATTTATTCTTACGAATTGAACAAATGGTTTATTCTTACGAATTGAACATTTTTTACGAATGTAAGTTCTATTCTTATTTCAATTGTAATCTCTTTAGATGAAATCATAACATTTGTAAATCTATTTTTTCTGTATTTTCAAAAAAAGAAATAAGACATTTTAATTGATCTATAGCAACATCAACATGAACACGTATTTTGATTGTAAATGTTTACTAAGTTGACGAAAAATAAAATATCATACCAAATACTCATGTCTAATAAGAACTCAAAATTTTCAATCTCATATGTTGCTAAACGATTAGCTTCACTTTCTTGTTTTAGGATCTTCACTACTTTCTTCTAATTGTAACAATGCGTCTCTTACACTGGGAGCTTGAAATTTAATTGCTTTAACCCTTTCAATTTGACTTTCTTAACGTGTTTATGACAATGATTTAAGGGTTAAACCCAATACACCATCTTGTAAAATTTTTCATCATTTTGTAGAAGAAGCAAATAATGAATATATATATTGTATTACACCGAAAAATGACATAACCTTAGGACAAGAGTTAGCCATATCGCAAAGTAATAGATTTAGATTATGACAACCACATGACATGTAAAATTCTCTAGAATTTATATCTAGAAGTCTTTTTTGTACCCCCTTTTTTTTTTTTTTGCTTTCATGTTAGATCCATTATCAATATACCCATGTCCTCGTGTATCATTAATATCAAGTTCGAGGTTTATTATTGTATCTATAATTTTGTCAAAAATACATTTTCCACTTGTATTATCTACTTTAAGAAACTCTAAAAAATATTCTTCTAATTTTATTGGACTTGTTGAGAAATCAATATAATGTAATATGAGAGACATTTGTTCTTAATGACTTATATCCGGAGTACAATCAAGTATAATTGCATAATATTTTACTTCTTTAATTTTCTTAATAATATTATTTATAATTTCAATTCCTAATGAACTTATCAATTCATAATAGTTATGAATTTCATCATGTTGAATGCGTCGGATGTGTTATCATTTCAATTATAATTAAAAACATTTCTTTATTTTCTTGATATATCTTTTCATTTTTTCCCTGAAATGACAAATTTTTTTTACCAAGATTCTTTACAACCGCAATAATTCTCACAAATACATTTTTTCAATGTTTTTTCTCTCTATTAATTTGTTCTTGGATGGTTTTATCAATTGTTTCACTTTTTAACAATCTTGTTTCTAAATCAATCCAAGTATTCATATTAGTAATATGTTCATTAGATGTTTCATGGCTTTTAAGTTTAACACTAAGATTTCTCTAATCTTTAGTCCCTTCATTAGCTAGCTTACTTGTACTATGATTCTTATTAAACAACTTACAACAAAAACAAAATCCTTTATCCAAATTTTTTGAATATACTAGCCATTTTCTATCACGTGTCTCCCCATTGCTAATTTAAGAATATAGTGTACAGTGAAAAAATGTCTAGAAAGCTCGTCTTTGGGAAAATCTAAATCATTATTTCTAATAGGACCTTTTTCTACTAATAAGTCTTAGTTTTGTATAAATATTATTCCAATGACTTGGATCATAAATATTCATAGCATTATAATTACTTGTTTCATTAAAATTTTCATGGTCTAATTTTTTTTCTTTTTCTTCATCATCTATTTTATTTTATTTTTTTGTGTAAATAAAGGCTTGTATAGATATCAAAAGGACTTTACAACAACACTATTTTCATATTACATGCTTAAGTAGAATTGTGCATATTTTCATTAGTATCTTTTTTGTTGTATTATATTATCATATTCTAATTCACTGGGATTAACTATTAGTTCATTTGCTAAATTTTTATCTATATTTTTTGTTACATTTTTTTTATTACTAATAACAAATTTATCAAGAGATCCTTTTTGACATTCCATTAATTCATCTCTTTTTTTTTTTTTGAGCTTTTCATATCCACCTGATTGTTTTCTATTTGCCATACTATCAAATATTAAATAAACAATCACAAATAATGAATAACACACACAATCTATATTAAAAAAATATATAATAAGAACTTTAAATAAAAAAATTCAAAGCATAGAATAATAACACTTGCTTTGTGTTATTTTCAATTTTTTCATGAAATCTGATTATCACCGTAGCAGAAGGCAAAACAACGCTTTAGCCAACAAAAAATAATGCCACATTAAAGTCCTTGTCACAAAGACAAATTTTACTATAGAGAAAGGAGAGAGAGGTCCCCCAGCCTTTGTTGGCTAGCGAGAGGGAGAGAGAGAGGGGTATGTTTTGCCTCTTGGCCTTTCCAGATTATTTTACTGTTGAGAGAGGAGAGAGAAAGATAAGGATAACGAGTGAGTGGTTAAAAGAATATGTTGAGAAATGTGATATACAAATATCTCTAACAACTGTACATCAGTTTTATAGATATACTAGTCATAACTCGTGCCTGAAGACATGATAAAATTTAAAATTCGAGTGTCCAAAAAATCGATCCCACTATATTACATTTTTTCAAAATATATTAACTACAAATTAATTAAATATTAAATAATAAAATATATGATAAAAATGAGTAGTGCGATATTTTTATGGAAGAAATATATAAATGATTAAATATGTGATAGAAATGAGTGATGTGATTTGACATTTGAGTCTAATAAAGGGATAATAGATGAGGTAAGTGATTGATGATGATTTTAAGAAGAAAAATATAACTGGGATAGAATTCAAACACACTCCTGTTTTATTATATATATATATATATATATATATATTTTAATAATTTTTTTAGTACATGGACT